TTGGATCCCCCATTAAAATGTAATCTCCTTACAGGAGAGCAAGGCTCCTCTTGGCTTTGTGTTTGCCTCCCCTGTGTCTGGTACATAATAGATGCCTAATGCATGTCTTCTCATCCATCCATCCAATCATGCACTGATAGCTTCAAAGGTACGAAAGTACATTGTGTTACATTCTTCTGCTTCCCTGATAACAGGCTCTGTCTCTTCCAATTCTTTTTCTTTCTTGTTTCTTTCCTTGACGAATTGCTTCCATTCTTTCTAGGAACATTCCAATCTCCCCAATAACCTAGAGAGTAGAAATTTATTCCTACAGCCCTTTCACCTACTCTTGCACAGAAATTGACTAACCCTTCCACTGTGTCCATTTCCAGGAATGGCCGGAAGTCCATTCTTCACGCTAATGAGCAGGCAGCAACATCCTGGAAATGGGAGTGGAAGTGGGAAGAGCATGTTGGAGAGAAGTAAAAAGAGGAAGGGCTAAGGTTCTCAGAGGACAAAGTCCTGATTGCAGAGATGTTGATTGCAGAAAGTCTTATTAGCAGTCAAGCCCTTGCTCTTTGAGAATGACCTAGACCCAGATAAAGAAAGAAAGAGGGAGAATAAGGCAGATAATATTATTTCCATTTTACAGATGAGGAAACTGAAGCTCAGAGAGAGAAAGTGACTCGCTCAAGTGTACACAGCTGGGAAATAAAGAAATCCCTTCCTGCCTCTGGGATTCCTTTAAAATGAGGGGCTAGGACTAGACAGCCTGCACAGTCACTTTGAGAACAATGTCTTATGGGGATTAGAATACTACAGCAGAAAGAAATCTGGGCTGGAGGGAGTCAGAAGACCTGGATTCTAGTCCCAGCTCTGTCACTGACTTGTATGACCTTGGATAAGTCCTGTCTCCTCTCTGAGCCTCAGTTTCCTCCTCTGTAAAATGATCAGATGATCCCCAAAGAGTGACCCCTCCCCTGCTCCTTCCAGTCAGAGTGCTTTAGTGGGCTGAGCATTCGACTCAGTAAGGAGAGAGTGGTTTCTAATCCTATCATTGGCATCTAATAGCCATGTAACCATGGGTAGTACCTTTGGGAGAGGGCATGGCATGGCACAAGAAGCATGCTGGCTTGAAAGTCAGAGGACCTGGGTTTGAATCTTGGTTCTACTACTTTCTTACTATCTGTGTGACTTTGACCAGCTCACAATCTCTCTGGGCCTTGGTTCTTCGTCTGTGGAAAGAGGGGCATCAGGTAGATGTCATCCAAGGTTTTTTCTAACTCTAGGGCACTAATCCTGTGACCCTGGGCCTCAGTTTCTGGGGATGATAATAACTACTTCAAAGGACTGTCACAAGGATTAAGTGAGATAATATATGTAAAAGTGCTTTGTGAGCCTTAAAAGTGCTAAATTCATGTGGGTTATTAATTATTTGGTGCCCTAGGATCAGAGAACTTCCGTCTCCTCCATTATATTGAAGACACAAACTCATGTTTTTCCTCTTCTGATTGACTTAAGGCTCTCTCCAGAGTCCCTGAGACTCTTGTCCAACCCCATCATTTTACAGAGGAGTAAACTGAGGCATGTGGAACGGAAGTGCTTTGTTGTCTCTCTGCCACAGACTTGCCCTGTGGCCTTGGTCTCTGGGCCTCAATTCCTTCCTCTGCAAATGGAAATTATTCTAGGAAATTAGAACTAAGGTCCCTTACCCTGAGTCAAGGGCTATTTTCTGGATAGGATTTGTTCTGTAAAATTTAGAGTCAGTCAAAAGGCCACACTTAAGGATCTAGAAGGATCTCAAGGCCGCTGGTTTCCCATCCTTGTTCTAGATATGTTGGGGTGGGGGGGGCGAAGAGGAGGAGGCCTGGGAGGACTGGGATGGCAGGGCTGAGGAGCTGATGGAATGAATGTGGGGGTGAATCATGGAGGCTCTGTTCTTCACAATCACATGTGCCTATGTATAAGTTTTGAGCTGGGTTTATTTTGGGTTTCTCTTCCTCCTTACCAGAAGCAGAACGGAGAATAGAGGTGCTGATGGTGCTGTTTAGAACTGGAAACAATAAGAGAGTCTCTGGACCTTTGTCTCTTGTTCCTACCCTTGCCCCCTAACTATCTCTTCCCACTGTGTTGCCAAGTTGCTTTATAACCAGAGGGTGACTCCTTGGCTCCTGGCTTAGACTCTTATCGGCTATGTCACTGTGGGCAAGTGGTCTCCTGTGGCAAAAAGAATACAGGATTTTCATCAGTGGATCTGGGTTTGAATTCTGGCTCTGCCTATTTCTACCTGGGTCATCTTGGAAAAGTCACTTAGTAACAAACTAAAACCTCAGTTGTTTTGGTTTTTCTTTTCCCATCTGTAAAATGAGGGAATTGGACAAAATGATCTCTAGGGAACTTTCTGGTTTGGAATCCTATGATCACTGTCTAAGATTCAGTTCTCTCATCTATAATATGGGATAATATATAAATAAAATAGGAAAGCTAGGTGGTGCCATAGTGCATAGAGTGCTGGGCCTGGAGTCAGGAGGACTCATCTTCCTGAGTTCAAATCTAGCTTCAGACACTTACTAGCTGTGTTACCCTGGGCAAGTCACTGAACCCTGTTTGCCTCAGTTTCCTCATCTGTAAAAAGAGCTGGAGAAGGAAGTGGCAAGCCACTCCAATATCTCTGCCAAGAAAACCCCAAACGAGGTCACAAAGAGTCAGACAGACTGCAGTGACTGAATAACAATGGCAATATGGGATAATAATACCTGCACGCTTTATCTTCTGGGATTGTCCATTCACTCTTCTGCATGCTGACCAGGTGATGTTCTTATCCTCACAGAAGATCTGTAAAATGAGATACAGTCAATCTTCTTCCACTTCTAAGATTCCCCAGATATATCATTTAGTCCAACTGCCTTGTTTTACAGGCGATGAAAGTAAGGCCCAGAAAGGAAAATGACTTACCCAAGGTCACACGTGATAGAGACACATCTGAAACTGAAAGCTAGGACCCAGTCTAAGACCTTTGCCACTTTCAATTTGGTTCTGGTTCCTGCCTGGAAATATAGTCTTGAGATAGTTGTGCAACCAGTCAATAAACATTCATTAAGTGGCTATTATGTTCCAGGTTCTATGCTAAATAAGTCCTTCTTCCTCTATGGACCAGTTTATTGATATTGTCAAATGAATGTGGGCTTAGTATGGAGACTCAGTAAAGGGAATAAGTTTCAATAAGGGGAATGGGGACTCAATGGTGGAATGTGGGATGAGTAAGGGGAATTGGAGCCTCAGTAAAAGAACATGGGGTTGATGAAGGAAATGGGTCTCAATAAAGGACTCAGGGATGTGGACTTGAAAAGGGGGTTGAGGGTTCAGCAAGCCTGAAGGGGCTTTGTGAGAAGATGGGAGCCCTGTGAAAGGACTCAGTCTCAATGAGGGGAATGAGGACTCATAGAGGAAATGAGAGCTCAGTGAAGAGGATTGGGATTCATCAAAGGGATCAGAGCTTCTAGGAGAGGTTGGGAACTTAGGGATTGAGGTCTCACAAAAAGGAACGGAGGCTTAGTAAAGGAATAAATATTGCCCAAGAGGCTGACCGTAGCTGGGTGAAGGAATGCATTTCAGAAAGATGGGGACTCAAAGAGGGGTGTAACTAAGTGTGGAGGGGAAGGAAACTCAGTGAAGGGAATAAGGGTTTCAATGAGCAGGGTGATGGCTAAGGGTTGTGATAGATAACCAGTGAAGGGTGATTTAGTGATAGAATTGGAGCTCAGTCAAATAAATGGATTTGTGAGAATTTGGGGGTTCACTGAGGGTAATGGCACTTAAAGAGGAGGATGGCTAAGTGGTATGATGGAAGGTCAGTGAAAAGAATAGCAGCTCAGTGACAAGATGGGATTTCAGTAACATGGGGACTTAGTGAGGAGATGCAGACCCACTGAGCAGAAGAGGTCTCAGAAAAATGGGTCCGTACTGAGTGGGCTGATGGTTCAATGGTGGGAATGGAGCCTCAGTGAGGAGATTAGGGCTGAGAAGATGGGGCCAGCAGATAAGAAGGGATCCTAGTAAGGAGAATGAGGGCTAAGGAAGGGGGATGAAGGGATGAAAGTTTATTAAGAGAATCAGAGCTCAGAGAAAGGATGGAGTCTCAGGAAGAGGGGTGATGTCTCAATAAGGAACAAAAAGGTTCTCCGAGGATTGGTAAATCCCGTTAGGTCTCAGTGATGGGATGGGGGCTCAGTAAGTGGATAAGCATTGAGTAAGGGGGGGTGAGGTTCAGTGATATACATGAGGTCTTCATGAAGGGATGAGAAGCAAGTGAGAGATATAAAGGTTCCCATAAAGAATGGGGTCTTAATAAAGGGAATGGGACTCAGATTCATATTGGGGGCTCAGTAGGGGGTTTAAGGGTTCCGTGTGGGAATGGTGGTGGGTCCTCAGTGATATCTATGAGGGTCCATTATGGGGTTGGAGTTTCAGTAAGAGATAGGGGCTCATTGAGAGAGAAGGGATGTCAGCAAGGGCAGTGATGGAGGTCTCAGCAAGCAGAATGTTGGCGAAGTGGGAGATCAATGAGAATAGTGTCTCAGATATGAAAATGGAAATGGAGTGTGGGGGTGAAGTTCAGTGATTTAATGAGGGTTCAGTATGGCTATAAGAGCTTGGTGAGGAAGATGTTGGCTCAGTGAGTAGGACATGGAGGTACCTTCTCAAGGCTAAAAAGAACCTGATACCCAGAGACTTATAACCCCCCTGTTTACCAGGAGAGAGCAGTATCTCTATCTGCTAACCTCACCTGGCCTCCCATTGAAGGCCTTTCATGGTCCCCCCAGATCCTGGGGTGTCATCCTGGGTCATCCTCTCCATTGCCTGGCTCACAGGAGAGAGCTCAAGTGCAGGGGGACAGAGAGCAGGAGAGGGAGCCTAAGAGAGCTGGAGTGGAGAGGGCCGGCCCCTAGGGTGTGGCCGCTGCTCAATGGGACCATCCCAACTACAAGCCCGCCTTCTCCACGGAGCTGCTTGAGGTTTGTCCCAGCCAGAAACAGAGGGAGGGGGATGAGAGAAGCACCAACTTCGGGAAGCAGAGGGAGATTGAGAAACAGAGGAAAGGAGAAGGAGAGAGAGAAGGAAGGAGAGAGACACAGAAACTAGAGTGAAACAGAAAGATACAGGGAAAGAAAAAAAGACAGAAAGAAGAGGAGAGGGAGTTACAGTGACAGACGGACAAAGTGGAAGCTAAAGGGGGCAGCGACAGAGGTTAGTGAAAAAGAGTTGAGTGAGCAAGGCTGCTCTTACTAGTGAGTGGTGGGGGGGGATACCTAGGTGCCTGTCTACCTTTGTGCTATCCGACAGATACTTGTCTCCCTGCCTGAAATCCTACCATTAGAGTTTCACTTTCCTTCCCACAACTTTTGACTTTTAAAAGGTGGTAAGGTAAATGTGAAACCCGTTCCCCTAGAGGTAACCCCAGAGCAGCCTAGCAGGTTCAGATCAGCACCAACAGCATAAGACGAAGCTCTGGTAAGTGTTGAAAGAGAGGGGAGAATGCAGGACCTGGGTGGCTGGAGGTGGAACACGGGGATGTCGGCGAGGGAAGGCACCAGGATGGGAGTGGGCATGACGAGTGGGTGGAGAGTGGACACTGATCCCTGCTTCACTGTTGAGGTGCCCTCGTGCACAGAAAAGATAGAGACAGAGAGAGGAGACACAGAGAGATAGAAACAGGAGACACAGAGAGATAGAAACAGGCAGAGACAGAGGAAAGACAGAAGTGGATTAAAAACAGAGGAAAGGGACAGGAGAGACAGAGTTTAGAAAGGGAGACAATTCTGTAGCATACAGAGGGCTTTGGTCAAAACCTAGCGAAGTGGTTAGTGCATTTTAACAGAAGAGGGAAACTGAGGCTTAGAAATGGGGAGTGATTTGCCAACCTCCTGATTCTCTACATTCAATGCTATTTCCCCTATAGCATAAGAAAGAGATAGAGACAGGGAGAGAGAGAGACGGAGACAGAGAAAGAGACAGAGCATGGGGTGGGGGGAGGGGTAACAGCGTGAACCAAACGCATAAAGAGAGAAATTGGTGTGATGTTGTGACTGAAATGAAGAACAGGACAGAAAATTCAGAGATAATGCCAGAGGTCACTGGTTCTTGGACTCATGGGAAAAGAGGAGGGGAAGGGAGAGCCTGGGTGGAGCCTGGGCCGGGGGAGGGTGGATGGTGGAAGAACAGAGGCTTCTCAGAAAGTGACAAGGCTCTGAGGCCAAGGTAACCAAGCAGTCAGCCTTGAGGTTATATTGCTCAACTTACACCTTGGCTAGGAGTCACCTTTCCACCGGCAGCTTGTAACCACTTTAGCAAGGGCAGGGCCCGGCTTGCCTCCCGCAGCTAGAGGGGAGGGCTTTCTGCCCGGGATTTGTAGAGCGTTGCAGGGCCAGGAAAAAAGAAACGGGGAGAAGCAGCATTGGAAAATCCTGCTTTTAAACTGCAGCAAGAGACACTCAAGCAAGACTTGAGGGAAGACTTTGCCCGTGTGGGAGATTGAGGACAGACTGGTGCCGCTTTCCTCCCCAGAGGTCTTCAGGAATCTCAGTATTCATGATAGTAGGAGCCATATCAAGGTTGCACAAGTGCAGGGATCAAATTGAGGCTAAGTAAGGCAGGAAATGACTTGTTCAAAGATACACAGCTAGGAAGTAACAGACAGAATCTGAATTTCTCATTTGGCCCACTGACCAGAGAGCACGGTAATCAGAGCCAGAGGGAACCTTAGAAATCGCCTGCATTTTACATATGAGCCCCGGATGGGTCAAATGACTTGCCTAAGGTCACAAAGCAGGGCTAGAGTCATGATTGCTCCCTAATGATTCCGGGTGAGCAGAGGTTCATCTTGCCTCGCTTCATCAGTGGACAGAACCGTAGCCATCTGAACCCAGAGCATAAAAGGCGTACAGTGCACGTGAGAACTGTCTTCACATGTTATGAAGGCTGTGTCAGGCTGGCCAAGGCAGTGATCCTCTCAGAGACCTGCCCTTTCTGCCTCTGTGAAAGGAGATGCATTATCCTTGTATATTATAGTACCTACCTCACAGGTGTGTTGTGAGCATCAGATGGGATAATGAATGGAAACTTCGTAGTGATACATAAGGCGAAGGGAACAGGCTTGTTCTGCCTGGCCCCAGAAGACGGAGCCAGGCATGATGGGGGAAAGCTGCGTTTAGGAATTCCACACTTCCTTATGATTGTTGCTGTTTAGTCGTGTCACACTCTCCGTGTCCCCATTGGGGGTTTTCTTGGCAGAGATCCCGGAGTGGTTTAGCCAGTTCTTTCTCCAGCTCATTTTACAGATGAGGAAACTGAGGCAAACAGGGTAAAGTGACTTGCCCAGGGTCACACAGTTTGTAAGTGTCTGAGGCTGGATTTGAACTCAGGTCTTCTTGACTTCAGACCCAACACTCTATCCACTTCACCAGCAGAATGGAGCTCTCTAAAACTGGAATTATCTGCCTGGGGAGGAGGTGGGAGGTAGGTAGATGGTAGAAGGAAGATAATAATGAGGTTCCCATCACTGCAGGTCTGCAGACAGGGCTAGATCGCTATTTTGAGGGGACACCAACAAGGTCATACTTGACCATGTTCAAGTATGTGGGATGCAGCTGAGTAGCATAATAACGAGAGCACTGGACCTGAGACCAGGAAGACCTGAGTTTGGGTCTTGCTTCAGATATTAGCTGTGTGACCCTGGGAAAGTCACTTGACTTCTCTTGCCTCAGTTTCCTCATCTATAAAATGGGGGTAATAATAGCATCGGCCTCCCAGGGTTGTTGTGAAGTATAAAGGAGATAATATTTCTTAAATGTTTTGCGAACCATAAAACTCTATGTAAACCTTAATATTGGTTATTATGCCTTCCAGTTCCAAGATCCCTTCATTCCCTGACTTTCCCCATCCCTGAGTCTGTCCGTCTCTTATGATACACATTCTGCTTGGTATTGTGACTTTGTGCATTGTGCTCCAGGTGAGCAGCTCCTGAGGTCAGGGCTTTGGGTGTTCTCCATTTCTCCTCCCCACATCGCCACCCTGGACATGCTTGGGGCTCAGGAAATGCTTGGTCAATGAGTTTTTTCCCATTCTTCTCTTCCTGGCAGCCTACCCTTTTCCTCCAATTCAGACACCTGGTGTTTCCCTCTTCTCAGGCCCCAGGCGGGGGTTAGTCTCTCCTCTCTCAGACAGTGAAAGTCAGTGGCTGAGCAGAAATGTCCCCCTGGGGAGAAATGCTTCCTCTCCGCCTTCACCCTTCCTGATTCAGGCTCAGATGCTTCCCTGAAGCCATCACGTAAGGGAGTGTATTATATATCTCCCACACTTAGAGGCAACTTATTCTACACTGGAAATAACCTTGGCCTCCTTAGCAGTTTGGTGACCCAGGGTTCAAATCTCAGCTCTGTTAATAGCTAGCTGAAGAGTGATATACAGATGTGAAGGGTTATTACAGCTGTTGTTATGGCTTCTGGTCCCAACTCTGTCACTTACTCAATGTGTGACCTGGGCTAAGTCAGTGCCCCTCCAGGCCTCAGTTTCCTCCTCTGTAAAATAGGTATAATAATTCCTGCCCTGCCTCCTTCCCTGGGACAGTAATAATAATTTTAGCTAGCATTGTAAAGATTGTAAAGTTTTTTGCCTATATTATCTCATTTAATCCAGCCCTCTATTGTCATCCCTATTTCCAGAGGAGAAAACCAGGGTTAGACTAAATGAGTTGCCCAGATTCAAAGGATCTAAGGCAGCTAGGTGGCACAGTGGATAGAGTGCCAGGCTGTAGTCAGGAAGACTCTTCCTCCTGAGTTCAAATCTGGCCTTAGACATTTACCAGCTCTGTGACTCTGTGACCTCTTGCTGCAGTTTAAAAGATCTCACTTGACCCTGTTTGCCTCAGTTTCCTCATCTGTGAAATGATCTGGTGAAGGAAATGGCAACCCACTCCAGTATCTGCCAAGAAAACCCCAAATGGGAACATGAGGAGTCAGATACTCCTGAAAAATAATGGAAGAACAACATCTAAGGCAGTATTTGAACTCAGATCTTGCTGACTTCAAGTCTAGCACTCTATTCCCTGTGCTACCTAGCTACCTTTCTATAAAAGAAACACTTTTTAACTGTGAAGAGTTATATTCCCGTTTATAATATCCATGGCACTTTACAGTTTGCAAAGTGACTTCCTCACAAGTCCTGTGAATATCATGGGTGTAAAAATGCTTTGTAAAGTCATCTAGGGTTCTTTTCATTCTCTCAGTGGCCTTTATGCTGTGTGACATGGTAGGAGTCCCTGCACCTCTCTGTTCTTTCTCTCTGCCACTGACAAGAGGGCAGATAATTGGACAGATCAGCTGGTACAAACCATTGCCCTTTCCTCATAGTGTGGCTGGGGGTCTGAGAGAATCCAATCCAACACTGTAGAGACAAAGCAAGACAGTGTTGCGTTCACACTTTCTGTTAGAACAGAGCAAGGACAGTTGCAAAGCAGTGAGAAGAGAGCTGGCCAAAAGTTAGTTCAAACCCGGGGGCATCTGAGAGCACAGCCCCGTTGGTGCCTCAGTTTTACCTTCAGTCAAATTAAGCTGTCAAACTAGATGACTTTTAAGGTTCCTTCCCATTAGCATCTTCAGTGCTCTAAGGCAGTGGTGTCAAACTCCAAAGAAAGGAATCCCTGTAGGATGCAAATTCGACTTAGAAAACCACAAATTAACATTTTCTATGTTGTATTGAGGGCAGCTAGGTAGCACAGTGGCTACAGCACTGAGCCTGGAGCAGAAAGACACAGTTCAAATCTGACCTCAGGTGCTTACTAGCTGTGTGACCCTGGACAAGTCATTTAACCTTATTTGCCTCAGTTTCCTCATCTGTAAAATTGGGATAATAATAGCACCTACCTCACAGAGTTATTGTGTAGACCAACTGAGTTAATATGGATAAAGTGCTTATACAGTACCTGGCACATAGTAAATGCTTAATAAACATTTATTTCCTTCCTTCCTGACTTCTTGGACTTGAGCTGAGCTGTCCTTAAAGGAAGAGTAGGATTCAGAGTTGGGGGAAGAAAGGGGAGGACTATGTGGGAGAGACTCAGGATAGGGGCCAACCTGTACAGATGTGGATGCTGGGATATGGTGTGTGAGAAATAGCAAACAGACTAATTTGACTGGACTCTACCGTATGAGAAGAGGAATAGTGTATAGCGAGCCTAGGAAGGAAGATAGGAGCCAGGAGCCAGCCGGCGAGAAGCTTTCAGTGCTAAACAGAGGGAGGGAGAGGTGGGAGCCACTGAAAATATGTGAGCAGAAGAATGACATGATCAGATTTGTGTTTTAGGAATTTCCCTTTGCCCGTTTGTCATAGCATGGATTGAAGAAGGGAAAGGCTTAAGGCAGAGAGACTGCATAGGAGGCCAGCCATTTCAGTGGCACAGATGAGAAGTGATAGGGGCCTTAACCAAGATGGTGGATCTGTGAGTGGAGAGAAGG